ACACGTCAGTGGGGGTATTTTCCCTGATTAAAAAGCTGTTAAATCTGCCATCAATGTATGTGACTCTGTATTCTGTCTGGTCCATTAAAAAGTGTGTGACAGTGATGCCACAGCATAAAGCTCCAAATCATTACTGTACAAGACGCCTTCTTTTCATCCTGTCCCTATGTTTGTCAGGTTTCATAATATGCGATTGATTTGCAGTCTAATACAATCCAGAGCAGTGTATTGTCTGTTAATTTGATATTGTAGTGAGGAAATGAGGAGGAGGGTCTCTGCCTCCCTGTGGTACTTGTGGGGAGGTGTTCCCTTCTGTTCATATGGTATTTATCAGACATATAGTTAGTCTTAATTGTCTTTTATGCACAAGGTCTCTTATTGTAGTGCCATATTGTTGCAGTTCTTGAAGGAAAAATTCTAAAATACTAAAATCATCCGTACAAAAAAATGTATTTATCCACCTCATTACTTTCAAAACACAGAAAAGCATCTTTATCTTGTAACTGAATTGTTTACCCAGTTTTTTTTAAAAAAATAAAGTTGAACATCCACCCAGCCTAGTGTATGTGCAGTTGGATTCTCTTGTGTCTTTTCCTAACTCCTTATGAATTCTCCTTCACATCTTTCCTTGACCTCATGTCCTTTTCCATCGAGGTCAAGGAAAAGTGGTTAGGAAAGAAGGCAGTTTTTTTCCTTTTCCTAGGGACTCTGTCTTTCTCTGTCTCTGTTTCTCTCTCCGTGTTAAAGGTTTGTAACACATCTGCTGTTTAGTTTATTTGTGCATCAACAGGGAACCTCCAGCTCGACAGCTAACAAGTAGCTGTCGTACCATTTCTAGTACCACTGTCAGTACCACGGTAACAGTAAAGTGGCGGTGGGCAATGCAACTGCTTTTTTTTAAATCCTTTTTGTTTTTGTTTTCTTTGTTTTGTTTTGTTTTTTTGAAGGGTGAAGAGCTGTTCTTGCCTATTTTCTCAATACGTGTTTGTGTGAATACTTTTATTTTGAATCTGAAATTAATAAAATATCATCTCTCTTAAATGTCACCAGAGTTTTTGATGTTTTTTATATATCCTAGGATATGTTAGCAAATAAAATAACATAAATTCCTTTCTTTTGCAGTGTCTTGTTTTGTGTGATAAGTTACAACCTTGTCTACATTTCAATGATTCCTCACCAATAGACAGATACACAAAATAATGTAGTAGTGTCTCCCCTTGCATATTCAGAAGTCATGACACAGAATTTTGATTTAATTTTATTTTTTATTATTTTTATTTTTCTATTATTATAGGGACGCTGAGGAAGGAAGGTCAGATTAGTGTACAGCACAATGCACACCATAAAACAATATACAATGATCAATATACACAATCAATGCAATAATAAATCTCCATTATGCAGCAAAGCATTTGCATACTCCCATCTCAGCCATTAAAGAGTCCGTGACTCGAGTTTTAAAATCATTAATTGAAATGAAGCTCTGAAGCTTCAGAGTTTTTTTAAGTCCGTTCCAGGCTGAGGGAGCAGAGTACATGAATGCCCTCTTCCCAAGCTCAGTGCGAGCTCTGGGAACTGAGGCAGATAGACAGTCCTTGGATCATAGGCTGTAAGATGGATTGTGTGTGAAAGTGAGGTATGTACAGAGGTATGAAGGTAGTAGTCCAATGATTGCTTTATAGATGAAGATGTACCACTGGAGAAGCCTACGAGCAGACATGGACAGCCAACCTACCTTAGCATACAGAGAACAGTGAGGGGTGTGTGATTTACAGCAGGTAATAAATCTCAATACATCATGATAATTAGCATCCAGCATGAACAGTGAAGTGGAACAGGCGTTCATATACAATACATCACCATAGCAACGGCAGAAAAGTTGCAGCAACAAGCTTCTTTTTAGAGATAAAAGAAAAACACGATTTATTTTGAAAATAGAAGCCCAGCCTTACCTTTAGTTTCTTGACCAAATTTTCAATGTGTGGTTTAAAAGACAAGCTATCATCTAAAATGAAGCCCAGGTATTTAAAATTAGTAACACTCTCAATAGGGACACCTTGGTATGTGTGTACAGCAGAAAGACAACAGGCTTTTTCTTTTGATTTAGTAAAGATCATCATTTTTGTTTTATCTGCATTAAGCACAAGTCTTAATTGCAGGAGTTGGGCTTCAGTTTCCTTAAAAGCAGCTTTCAAGTACTCTAAGGCCTTTTGCGAGGTCCCTGCACAACAATAGATGACAGTGTCATCGGCATAAAAATGGAAATTTGCATTTTGGACACTTTTACCCAAATCGTTTATATAGATAGTAAACAACAGTGGGCCTAAAATGGAGCCTTGTGGCACCCCCTTGTGGACAGCCGAGATATCAGAGGAACAACCATCAACTTTAACACATTGAGACCTGTCTGAAAGGTAATTAGAGGACCAGGCCACAGCTGAATCCGACAGCCCTATACTAACCAACCTATGCCTCGTAACATCATGGTCCACAGTATCAAAGGCCTTAGAAAAATCAATAAAAAGAGAAGCACATTGTTGTTGTTTTTTTTAATGTAGGGCCATAATAATAGCATTTACAGCTTTTACAACTTTTGTAGCTGCTGTGACTGTACTGCGGGATTTTCTAAAATCAGATTGATAACATGATAAAATAAAATTACTATGTAAGAAGTCCTTCAATTGATCAATAACCAGGCTTTCCAGAACCTTGGCGAGGGGTGACAAGTTTGAAATTGGCCTGTATGTACTGAGGCTTGAAGGCTCACCAGGGGGAAGAACATGAGCCATTTTCTAAATTTTAGGGATTTCATTACAGATTAGTGTTAAATTATAAATATATACTGTATGTCAGTGGTTCTGCAATGAAGTCAGCAGCAAGTTTTAAATAGTATAGACCGAGATTATCTGGACCTGCTGTTTCTTTAGGATCTAACTTCATAAGGGCTTGATGTACTTCAGTAACAGTGAAGGGCCTAAAAACAAATTTACTATATGGAGGAGGCTCCACAATATCAAGTGGGGTCTGAGTAGCAGTACACTTAAATACTTTGTCAAAAAGAAAGCCAGAAGAAACAAAATGTTTATTAAAGCAGTTGAGTATCTCAGCTTTGTCACAGACAGTGGATGAATGTGATACAATGCAAGGTGGGAGACCAGAGGAGTTATCTGGGGATAAGGATTTGATCGTCTGCCAAAACTTCTGTGGGTTATTTAAAGTTTCTGTTGTAAGGGCAAGGTAAAAACTAGATTTCACCTTCTTCACTAAGGCAGTACATTTATTCCTTAAACATCTAAAAGTGGCCCAGAGTGCATCAGAATTGGATTTCCTTGCTTTCGCCCAGCAAAGATTTCTTTCGTGAATCAAACTAGATAACTCTTCAGAGAACCAGGGGTTATCCCACCTTTTGACTCTATACTTCCTGAAAAGAGCATGTTTATCTATGATTGGCATAAACAAATCAACAAAGTAAGACCAAGCCACTTCAATGTCAGGTACTAAGGAGACCCTACTCCAATCAATAAGGTACAAATCTTGCTTAAATCCCTGTTCACTTAAGTACTTTTTGTCACGTTTTGTAATATAGCAAGGCTTAACCTTAGGAATTTTAGTATCCCTGACACCTGCAATAACGCAGTGGTCACTCACATCATTTGGAAAACACCTGCAGAGGAATACTTATGAGAATTATTTGTAATGAATAAATCAGTAAGAGTAGATTTTTCTGAGGATCAGCTCCGTTGCTGTGCTGGAGCGCAGACGCAACCAACACGCATCTGGTGGAAATTGGGTTCTGCCACACATGTATAAATCCTGCTTAAGAGGACGTCACATTTTGGGTTTACTGCACCTTATACTTCATTCTGCTTAACTTAGACCTGTTGTCCTCGTCCGTGGACACTTTTCTGTGCTATATAGTGGTAGTAAGACCCCAATACACTAATCCATGTAAAAACAAAATGGTAGCCATCAGAATTGCAGCTTGTGGTCGCAAGCTACAAACCTGATCACATTTTTACCGATTGAACTTGGTTATTTACAATTAATAGTTTGTAGTTTGATATGCCAACAAATTTACCAATTTTAGCAACAGTAACAAGCTAAGACGTCTTTGATTAGGGAGTACTCCTTAGAAGACATTGGGATTTTATCGTCGGCTCATTTGAAGACATTGGGACTTTATTATCGTTTTGTTTGTGGACACTGGGACTTTATTATTGTTGACAATGTTAAGGTTTTTTAATGCTTAATAGGTCCTACTAATCCAAACTAACAGCTCGGAGAAATTAAAAATACATACCAAACAAAAATTTGGGTCTCAGGAGGGTAGTGCAGTACAAAGTTCTGTTTCTATTACTTTAAATACTTTATCTTTGTGTCAATAACATTTTATCTTGCATATTTACTTGTATTTCTACTAAAATGTCAGTCTTTCATGTATTTTAAATAAAAGAGATTTTGAAGGAATCTGTCTTTAAAATTAGGTTTCTGTGCAACTGTGTTGATCTATGGTGGTCCTAGGGTCCTACCTTTTCCTAGGATGGCAAAGGCATGACCCGCCCTCCTCGTCCTCTGATTGGCTACTACTTGTTGCCTTCGTTGAGCTGATTGGTTAGATTTAGGCATGTGGGGGTGAGATTGGTTAGGATTGGGGCGAGAATACCAAAGTGAGCCAATCAGAAGCAAAGTAAGGCAAAGTAGGGCGGGTCATACCTTCGCCATCCTAGGAAAGAAAAAAACAAAACTTGGGTGCGGAACTGTGCTGTGGATGTATAAAGAGAGGGAACGTGGCTCACTTCCGTGACATCAGCTGAACTAAACGTCCACAGGTTGGTGAGTTGCGTTCACGGACTTGATTGTTGTGTTTCAGTTGGTTGTTCTCTTTAACGAGCCTCTTTGAACTGCCACAGCGGAACTCGTCATAACAGCCACTGCGAGGACTCTGCGTGTGTTCATCTGAAAAGTACAAGAACAGGTATAAACCCAGTAGAAACTAGTGTTCTGGAAGAATCTGACTCGTGTTAATCCTCGTAGATTTATATGAACATGGCGAGTTGTGTAAAGATAACTTTTAGCTGTGCTTTTACACTTTATTGTCTGAACGAGTGAGGGGCAACCAACCAACCAACCGGGCTTGAAATTCAAAGTGAAGGATGTGGGTAATTAGTCAACACATGATGTGCCGTGTTTAGAAAAGTAAATAGTTGTACGTTATTTCACCTGACAGCTGTTTTATTCCTCCAACACAAACAGAGAGGCTGTTCTTCACATATCTGAGACGCTGGTATCTTGTTCGTTAGACCGCTGTGTCGCACTTTGCCACAAACAGTTGAGTTTAAACTGGGTGAGGCTCCGGCTAATTCATGGAGCACAAATTTAAACTGAGGAACAGTAGACAGCCAGTTAGTTTGTCTTTCACTGAATTTGCATCATGCATTAAAAATGTACGTGTATAGCATGTAGATATTGTATCAAGGTCACGTTAAAGACCGTCTAAAAACCACTGTTGCACAGTTTGAGAGATGTTCATTATCTGATTTTAATTAGAATTTTACCATGTCATGGTTAAGTATGAAACGATATATCCTGCCATTTTCACAAAAGTTTTTTAAACTATGATTGTCACTACCATTAGCACCTTTAAGATAAGGCTGGATCATTCCCGGATTCATTTGGATTTTTATAGTCATATCCCACATTTTTTGTTGGAAGAAACATGTCTCACTTCTTTTCTTTTTTTATCTTAATACAATACCTATACGCAAGCTATCTGCTGATACTGAGTACTGATCTGATATCTGTTGTATGGTCATGGGCGTATTATGAGTCAGTGGGCCCCTGGGCACAGACATGCAAAAGGCCCCACCACCTCTCCTTCACGATGCCGGACACACAGACTTTGTGGTGGTTTTGCCTCTGTTTTGTTGTTTTGTGTCTCTTTGTAGTTGTAGTGCATCTTTTTTAGGTTTTGTGTATCCATGCGGTTGTTTTAAATCTCTTTGTTGTCTTTTTGTGTCTCTTTTGCTCTCTTTACACAGAGCTTGTGCTGTAGCGCTACAAAGTCTCTTCTCTGTGCCGTCTTGGTATTTTTATACAGAACCAAACAACGGTGTGATTTTAGGCAGCATGCTGGCATCACACAATCAAAAGAGGCATGACAGGCGTGACATGTAAAACAACAGTCAGTAAGTTTACATGCACAACTTAATCGAGCTATGCTCAAAATTCGATTTTGGCGTCTAATCAGACTTCTGTCCTTGTCCCAGTTTTCATGCAACTGAGAAAATCGAATTACTGACGGGAACGTGTCCTCCTTCTCAACACTAGGTGGCGATATGCGTCGTTTCAGCGGGTTAATACGGCCCCCTTTCCAGTTGACCTATTACACCACTTAATAATAAACAACTGGAGTCAGGCGGCAGAACGGCATTTTCGAACAACAGCAAGATGGATAATCGTACAGCTTTGTTCATCTCGTACGTAATGTACGCGTTACTGATTGTGCAGATAAGGTGCACGCTATCCTTCGCGGTCATGGTGATTTCAAGAGGCAGACAAGAACGCCGTATGCCGTCCGGGGTCATATTCCGGGGTGTGGAGCATGCGCAAATGCATTGTCTAGTTTAACTCCGATTAAGGCGTATACATGCCGGAGAAAATCGAATTCCAATCACATTATCTGGGTGTCTTAATCGGAGTTGGAGAACTCCGATATTAGTCGGAGTAACGTGTTTACATGCACTTCAGTTGTCCAGTTATAGTCGGATTAAGGCAATAATTCTTTTTTTTCAAGTGTCATGTAAATGTACTGAGTGTCGGCCTCTAGTGTGGCATATAACAAATGGGTTGGCAGAGCTTTCTAAACAATTATAACTGCATTAACATAAAGATAATAATTATTTACTGTCCCTGTTATATGACAGTTGCTCTCACCCATTGCTCAGAGGGTAAGGAGCTTGGACCTCGTTGTTTTACAATTTGCAGATATATTTGGCCGCTGTACTTCTTTGAGTTAGCTGCTAACTACCATCAGCTGCTTTTTAAATCTCGTGGTCTTGGGTCACACACATAATACTTCATCAAAACATCATATCCGTCCCTTCCATAGTCCCATCCTAAAGGCTGTCCCTTTGACACAGACATCGTTTCGGCACTGTTACTATCGCTGCTGCAAGCTTGGGAGAGACAGCTCCACCCCCCCATTCCATGATTGGACCTTTTTATACAGAATGGCGTAGCATAACGGTGTGATATTCTCACCTTGACAAGGCAGTATAAAAGGGGTTTTTAAATTAACTTGTTTAGTTTTGGTTGTTCTGTATCTCCTTGTGGTCATATTGTGTCTCTTTGAAGTCATGTTGTGTCTCTTTGTGGTTGTTTTGCCCCTTTCTAAGAGTTACTTTGCGCGTCTTTGCCGCTCCTTTGCCTCTCTTTCTGGTGTGTTTTGTGTCTCAGTTGCAGTCTGTTCCTGGTACTTGTTAACTTGAGTGACATTTTTGCATTTTTACTTTGCCCGGTAGGCCCGTTCAGTAATCCATCCATGTGTATGGGGATAAATGAAGACAATATCATACATCAAGGATTCCAGTGGCAGTAAAAATTGAGTCGCCAACCTGCTGTGACTGATAGTGGAAACACAGAATTTTGTATTGACAGTGATGAAAACACTGTAATGTCTTATCTGGCTGATATGATCCGCTTTACAAGATCAGTATTGTACTAGTATGGATCCAGTGTATAAGAATGGTGAAACAAAAATTTCATAATTCATCAAAAGTCTACTTTAAAACAATAATGACATGCTTGTGTTTACATTTAAAGTGTTACTGGTTGCTGTAATCATCAGAAATCCCATTATAAGGTGATTTCAGTTTAAGTGATGGGGGACAAAAGCACAGCCTGATCACATTAGCGCTATATTGGCTTTATGAGACAGCATCATCCTGGTTAAGTTTGTTAGGCTTTTCAGAACTAACCCTGCTTTTTTGAGCTGTCCTTATAAAACATCCTCTGCTTCCCGATGTAGCATGCTAATATCATGCCAGTTTTGAGGTGTTGGTGAGCCGGGTGCTGTCTGTATTCCCACAGCACCATGAGTCTACGAGAGATCAGCGAGAACGTGAAGCTGGCCCGCGAATACGCCCTGCTGGGAAACTACAGCTCAGCCAGTGTTCTCTATCATGGATTATTAGACCAAATCAAGAAGTATGTGTACACCGTACGGGACAGCAGTTTTCAGCAGAGATGGCAGCAGGTAAACATGGCACCAAAACCCCATCAGACAAAACTTAACAGATTGAATCAAAAAAGAGTCCTGGCTTTTCTGATGGTTATCTGTGTTTGCCTCTCAGTTGTGGCAAGAAATCAGTGAAGAGAATCGACAGGTTCAGGACATAATGTCGACTCTGGAGAACTTTCAGCTGGACACGACGCCTGCTAAACCCAGTAACCACGACGACTATGAAATAAGGCCTGTGCCTGTAGAACCGAGGTATTGTACTTAGTTATTTACATTACTACCTTGTACCTTGTACATACCAAGTTTTCAAATTTTCTCATTCTTTGCTTAAGTAAATTTTCTGCTGCTGTGTGAACACTGTTATGATTGGAGGTTGTATGAGCTATTTGTCTGTGAACAAAAGCCCTGATGTTGTCATATGATTGAGATTAGTAAATCGAGTCCCCGATATAAGCCTGTTTTGTTCCTGCTCTGCCCTAGAGAAAGGTGCTGTGAACCTCACACTGCCTCTTTGTTTGTTCATAGGATTTTTTTCTCCACTTTAAAGTCTGGTTGCATGAATACACTTATTAAGAATTAATTAATGATTCATTTGATAGACACTGGATATGCATACACACTGAATCATCTTTTTTCATAGCCTTTTTTTCATCCCTCTTCCTCGTCTCTTTTCACAGACATTCTCCCTGCCCTGTCAGGCGGCCAGCTAACCCCTATAAAGAAAGCAAACCTCCCAACAACAGGCTGAGCGTGGCTGTGAGGGCCCAGCAGAGGCACTTGCCTCGCGGGGCCAATGGAGACAGAAGCAAACCACCTAAAGGCAAAGAAAAGAGGGAGTCGAGAGAGGCTGCTGGCAAAGCTAAAGATGATAAGGTGAACAACACACCATTGCCTCCTTCATGATATTTTATAACACACTGTATATTCAGAGAAAACTATTTGCATTGTTGATTAAACAGTATCCACATGCTGCTTGTTTGTTTACGGCCACGTCTAACCTGTAAGTCCAGTTTTTCGTCTGGAAGAAACCAGACCACATGGGTGACATTCATGGAACAGGGATGAGCAATAATGTCTTTTGTCTGCCCTCCAGAATAAATCAGATGTCCAAGACAAAGAGTTGAAAAAGTTTGACGGGACAGGATATGATAAAGACCTCGTGGAAGCTCTGGAGAGAGATATTATATCTCAGAATCCAAATGTTAAATGGTACGTTTTCATCACTTTTTGTTCATGACAAGCCCATTTCCAAATACGGTGGCTCATGGGATGAGGTCTACCAGGTGTCATCTCTGTCTGATCTGTTTCTTAGGGACAACATCGCAGACTTGGAAGATGCAAAAAAACTCCTGAAAGAAGCAGTCGTGTTGCCGATGTGGATGCCAGCATTTTTCAAAGGCATAAGAAGACCATGGAAGGTGCTGATTCAAAGAGATTTTAGTTTTATTTGTTTTGTCACAGACATCGCTTGTATCAATGCATAGAAACTTTTTTTTTTTTTTTTTTTTTTTTTTTTTTTAACTGTAGGGAGTGCTGATGGTTGGACCTCCAGGCACGGGGAAAACACTTTTGGCCAAAGCAGTTGCCACTGAGTGCAGAACCACATTCTTCAACGTCTCCTCGTCTACGCTCACCTCCAAGTACAGAGGGGAGTCTGAGAAGCTAGTTCGCCTTCTCTTTGAAATGGTAAGACTTTAGATGTGTTTGGTACAGGTGGATTCTCAAATGTTTTGTGGCATATTTAGTTTCCAGGTTATCATTAAGGTTTCTGTGCATGATTAACAGAATCTAAGAAAGCAATCAAAAACACCTGATCACAGATAATTTTGATATCAACAGTGAATCAAATGATTCTGAAAAGTGAGGGAGCCACTTGTGTTGGAAAACCCTCGTTTTTGCAGCTCTGCTTTTAGCTCATTGTTTTGGTTTTCTTGCTCACATAAATGGTTCAGGCTTTCAACTCTAATCAACTGTGCATGTATATAAACCATAGTGTTTCCACCAAACAGTCTGAGAGACATGAACTTTACACTACCTGCTTAGCACAACATGGCAAAGAGCTGAAGTAAACAGATGGCTGTAAAGTATCTAGAAAGCTGATTACTCAAGGTATTTTAAGGATTTTGTTGACAAAACCATGGCTGAAAGGAGAGTAAACTTACTGTTAGGCAGCAAATTTGATGTCTCAGCCATAATGTAGTAAGCTGATGGTTTGCCAAGTCTGTGAGTCTTTCCGCTAAATACACCTTTAGATTTTATGTGGATTTCTAGATCATGATTAATGTACAACAAGTTGTGTGGAACTACTCTGGATTGGGAATCTGCTCTCACATTCAGTGTAACTTTTTTGATATACTTATCATATATTTGTATATTGATAATATATTGTGGTCTTGGTCAGGCACGCTTTTATGCGCCAACGACGATCTTCATTGATGAAATAGACTCCATGTGCAGCCGCAGAGGGACTTCAGAGGAACATGAGGCCAGCCGGAGAGTCAAGGCAGAGCTACTGGTGCAGATGGATGGTAAAATACCTGAGATGTTTCTGCACTCTGACAATAACACCATGAATATCGTATTCACTACTTATCTCATATCCCCTATTAGAGAAAGGTTTTGTTTGTTTTTTAACAAGTGTAAAATTGTTAAAACTAGGTAACATAACTTTTCTGCAGTATTTCCTATTTCCCAGCATTCTAGATATACTTTATTTAACCTGCAGGAGGAAAAACGCATTCATTTTTCTGAGGCAGTTTTCCATTATTGTGACTTTGGTGTAGGAGTCGGTGGAGCATCAGAAAACGATGATCCTTCTAAGATGGTGATGGTGCTGGCGGCCACCAACTTCCCATGGGACATCGATGAGGCTCTGAGAAGACGGCTGGAGAAGAGGATCTACATCCCTCTGCCTTCAAGTAAACTCACTTATTTGCTACTTGACAGTCTAGTCTCCATAATGTCATTCAGTGAAAGTGATTGAGCGATCAGAGTCCAGCAGAATAATGTGACCTTTGAGCTTTTACTGTTCAACAACTAGAAAACAGACGGTTCAAATAGAAAGACTTCATAATGTCTAAATTAACTACAGCCTAATTAACTGCATGATGTGGGCTCATACTGGACAAAGCCGCTTTGGAGGCCCTGGGGCAGAAATGAGCCCCACTGACCCCCTGCATTCTTTGCATTCTGTATCCTGTCACCTTCGAGTACAGTGCACACAGCCGACACGCATGCTGCTTCATTATATTTAGTTTTGAGCAGCAGTAATCTCATGCTGGAATACTGCCTGCTTCTTTGTTTGTATGTCAGTTTCTGGTCATTTAATAAAACACTGATCAATTTAGGAAAGTGCAACAATGAGCACAATATCAGCATAAATATATAATATGTCACTAGATTTTGGCACAGGAGATGGCCTCAAGATCAGACTGTAGTGCAGGACCACATGCCATCATCATTGCAGCTAATATGAGTCAGTGGTGCATATCCTCAGACAAATTCACTGTTGCTGTTTTTACCACAAACTAAATGACAGGCAGTGAACTTGTGTCTTTCAGGTAGTTGTCATGATCCTGGAATGTCGAACTTCAGTACAATACCGTTGAAAATTATTGATATTTGATATGGATACCACAGGGAGAAATTGACATTGAAGGCATCCAGTTTCAATGTTTTCTTAAAAGATAAATATAACAAGGCTGTAACCTGACAACAGCGACTTCTCTTTTCTTTTCTTGGTTAGCAGCACAATAACTTTAGCAAAAATTAATAATGATTAAATCTTACATTATTGAAAACAATATTCCCCTTCGCTGTAGTGTACATGTTCAGAAGCCTGTGAGATTGTCATACATTTTAAAGGCAATAAAATGCAAGTAAAAGACAAAAGACAACTGTCCTGCAAAAGCCTGTATGCAAAGGTACCTATGAGATTAATGACGAGAAGACGGCGCTGTGAGTAAGTGAGAGAAGGCGGGGCTATGGAGGCACCATAGCAGGATGTGTGTGTGTGTGTGTGTGTGTTATCTCGCTGTTGGAGAGGAGAGAGAGGGAGAAAGTAGCAGTGCAGTTGTCTGTTTCCTGATTGGTAAACCAGCCAATCTTGAGTAGGGCAGTTTACACATGATATGGTGTACACTATAGGCTGTGGGCAGAAAGGGAGTTGCTTGCCTGCTCTACTTACTGTTGCATGTATGTGTGCAGCCAAAGGACGAGTAGAGCTGCTCAGGATTAATCTGAAGGAGCTGGAGCTGGCCAGCGATGTGGACTTGAACAAGATCGCAGAGCAGTTGGAAGGTTACTCAGGAGCAGACATTACCATTGTTTGCAGGTGAGCCATCTCTGCTGTTCTCCATCCTTTAATCTTACGTTAATCCTTACAGTAGTTTCTATTTTACACATAAAACACATTTGCATCAAAAATGATCATCGCTACAGTGTTTGTCATTGCTACAATAGATGAAACCTTTGTTGCATGTCATGGCCCTTTCTCTCCCCATGGTTCTTCTGTGTCCTATTTACTGTCAGAGAAAGGCCAAGTGTCATTCAGTAAAATAAAATACAGTAAGATACTGAATCTTCATTTTGCTGCTGTCCAGAAGAGCAGAACAAAAGCAAGGGCTGAAAGGAGTAAAGGAATTTAAGTAATTTGTGTGATAGAAAGCCTCTTGACATCTCTGCTGCAAGTGTCAAAATGTAATCATTGTGTCGTGCTGCAGGGACGCCTCTCTGATGGCCATGAGGCGCAGAATTGAGGGCCTCACGCCAGAAGAGATCCGTAACATTTCCCGTGACGAGATGCACATGCCCACCACCATGGAGGACTTTGAGTCAGCTCTGAAGAAAGTGTCCAAATCTGTGTCTGCAGCCGACCTGGAGAAGTATGAGAAGTGGATCGAAGAGTTTGGGTCCTGCTGAAAAACACCAGCATCCACGTCACTTGTATGTGAACTATTGTGAGACTGAGTCATAGGGTTATGGTGAGTGTTAGTACTGACTGTGTCAACTTATGTCTGTGTGTTCTTTGAATCATTAAGGTGATATTGAAGAGTAGGTTTATACTTAAAGTAAATATGTGCACTTGAAAAATGGCACCTCTTCCTATTGTACATTATGTTAATGTTATGCAGAAGTCTTAATGGAAAGAGGTGACCCGGGAGTCAACTTGATGCGTGATATTTCAGTCAAATATTGACACGTTACTTGTTTTAATGATCCTGAAATCATCAAGATGTAAGACCAATCCAACTGTAGCTGTGGGGAAAAACTGACAAATCTGAGGACACAAAGTTTCCTGCAACACTCGGACAGTAAAGTTTATTTCCAGAGATGTTTCACTGCTATTTTGTACCGTTGTATCTGACAATGAGAAACTGAGCTAACTGCCAATCAAGTGTTGCTCTTGTTTTTTTTCTTTTTTATGCACTTGATTTTATTTGGAGTTGTGTGGTTCTTCCACGTTTTTGGAAATGTAAATTCTTAAGCACATAACACTAACAAGATATTTCTATAAATAAAGCTAACAGTGATTATGGATATTAACATTGTTTTTCGTCAAAGTTTATTTACTAAGCAATTCGTCTGCTGGTGGGGAAAAAACTGCTACACCCAGAGGACATGTTGAAAAGTTCACTCTCAATCATAAGTGGCTGAACTTCTGTTGAACCAGGTGAGGAGGCAGATTTCTAACTTTTGAGTGTGCACGGGTGGACAGAAACAGGAAAGCAGTAAGAGGGAGGGGCTCACACACTGCATCACAGGATACACCAACTTCATCCTGAGCCTGGAAAAGATCCCTGAACTGGTCAAGACTTAGCGCCTGGATCTGGTAGCCAAAAAAAGGTACTGCAAAGTAAATGACTACAGACCCATGGTCCTGGCATCCAATATGATGAAGGCCCTTGAAAGACTCATACTCTTTCCCACCTTAGGACCCTGCAGCTTGCCTACTGGGAGAACATTAGAGTGACCAGCACAGGTTTATTCCCACCCAGATGAGGCTGGGAGCACAGTGAGGATGTTCTTTGATTTCTTCAATTCTTTAAATGCCATACAGCCTCTGCTTTTGGGAGAAAAGCTCAAGAGTGATGCAGGTGAACACTCCTCTTGTGTCCTGGATTACAGATATCTGGACTGGCAAGCTACAGGCATGACTGTGTAGCTAAAGTCAGAGGTGTTTAGGGTAAACAGAACGTGGAAGAGGACAGTCACCTCCACTGAGTCTATACTCATGTTGTGCCACCTGCAGACATGCGGATGTTCTCTGATGACTCTGCCACTGTCAGATCTACAAGTGGACAACAGGAGGAGGAATACAGGCCTGTTGGACATTAGCAAGACAAATGAGTTTCATTTGGACTTTTGCCGGACAAGGCGGATAATTTCCAAATCCTAAACTTTGGCTTTCAAGTATTAAACAAGCCAAAATGTGCCCTTCACCAAATGTAATACCATTTTATTTTTTATATAAAATGTATTAAAAAAATCATAAATGCTTTTCAAAATTTGTATTTATTTCTTAAAACAAGTGTGTTGGAAGTTGTTGCTTCTCCATCTGCAAGCTCATTTTGCATACTGCTTTCGGTTTGGTTTTCTTGTTGTTTTTTTGACCATCCAAAGTTTTTACGCGCAGAAGAAATGATCTTTGGTACAATTTTTTCCAACTGGTGCTCAGTCATGTTAATTCCTCGTGTCTTTCCTGCAAGTTGATTGGCTGCTGTCAGGCTGGTTCAAACCAAGTGGATGTGGGGAATTAAGTGTCTGCTTGCCAGGAATAGATAGTGTTTTTCTGATTAATAAATGAATTGATTTATGGCGCACTGTAAATATGCTTTTTAATCTTTGATCTTGGGGGAAGGTAGGTGTGGGGAAAACCAAGTGAAGTCATGAGTCACTGGTGTTAAAGTCCAAGTTTGGTTAGTCTTTTTTTGGCTTTTCGAGTCTACAGTCATCAAATTTGTGACTTGAGTCCACACCTCTAAAACTACTGTATGCTGATGATGTGATGTTGTGCACTGTGTGTGTGTGGTTGCTCCAGGTTAGAGGTTGCTCTTGTAGAGGCTGTCACCAGATATCTGCTCTCTCAGCCTGCACGACCACAGTTATCACACAAGTCAAAGGTGTGATGGTCTAGAAAGCATTTAATCAGCAGACCCAAATACACAGTCCAGCTGTAATTCGTACAATTTATGCACACAAATGTCTCAAAATAGTAACACATGGGTCTACCACCATTTAAACAAAGAGCAAATCAAAATATATTTCTGTTGTTGTTTTATTCTTCAGCAACACATCTGAAAATTCATGCCTGGCATATTGTCTGCCTTACAGGCTAAAGTAGTGTCATCTACAGCACTTTGTCGTGTTGACTTCATTTGGAATTTGAGGCTGAATCCGGTACAGGTTGAGCTGTTTAAAGTCATCATGCTGCTCCCTAGTTTTAAAGTTTAACTTGCTGACAGAGCAGCAAACTGCATTCACTAGCTAGACTACACATGCACCTTTTGCTAACGCAATATGTCATGCATCCTGCAGATAAACTGAACCCTGGGGAAACGAAATCACGACCTCAGCTGTTCTAAGGTGCACAAGCTGATGTTGTGACATAACATAAAAACCATGTTGAAACACTTGGACTTGAGTTTTGGGTTAATAAAACCAACTTTTTGGATCTTTTTTTTAACCTTGTGCCCACCTGTTTGGTCCCTCACACAGTCTAGTGAAACATTGGGAGTGACACCTGCAAGATTTATAATCTGAATCACTTTAAAAAAAAAAGAAAAGACAAAACATCCATGCAGGTTGAAGTCCAGTTTCCACTCCAATATTCAAAACTAAGTGCAGATTCTTTCCTTTAGCGATAATTTACATGTTGATTTTGTGGTCATTACTTGTGCACACACTGTACTTTACATCAGCAATAGTTTGTCTTCTAGAATGCATAGACAATCCGAACGACCTCACTTACATTCTACATGATTAGTAACAGGAAACCACACGCATTATCAGTCAAAGAAATTAAATACATAATCCCCCCTTTACTGATTGGGTCCCAAAGACAGTCACAGAGGCACTGTGAAGAAAGACAATCAATATACGAGCCTTAATAGTGGGCAGCAGGCCTTAGAGGGAGGTGTTTCATCAGTAACGACATTCAGAGTTTGAAAGAGGTGTGCGAGGAAAACCGTTTTCACTGAACGTGCGGACACAAGATCTGCTTCTTTTTCCTTTTAGATTAAATACCACTTCATTTATATTTGAATCTGGAACAATGGACTCAAATGTAACAGCTTTATCGTCTTCACTTAAAGGATGACGCATAGGAGACATTGCCTGCCTCATGTTAAATATGTTGTATAAACTCGTCATAGTGCATTTGCTGCCTTAGTTTTCTTCACATTTTTTGTCAGCAGCGGGGGTTAACTTCAGAGGAAAAACTGTGTGAGAAGAAAGGGTGACCTGTGCGCGACTGCTACGTAGAGAAAGTCTCTTCAGTGAACATAAAGACTGTAAATCATTGAATGCAGCCCCTAAAGTGTTCAGTTTGTTCATATTCATCTGGTAAACCTACAGTGCTTCTACATGCTCTTCTTCTGTGTCCTCAAAACCTGCCATTTTTCAGGACTATGAGGATGTCTCGTCTACACTTTGTATTTGAGTTGGTTGAAAGTATCCGAGTCACTGATCCAGAGAAAGTCGTTAACGTAATCCTTACGTCCTATCGATCAATAAGCCAATAAGCATACGTCCCGAATTTCTGAACTATTCCTTTGAATTCTAAGCCTTCATTGATATCATGTGATCTCCATAGAAATGGCTGATACAAGAATTTTGTGGTGAGATTGTTTTGTCAAGTGCTATTTCCAAAGTCAAGAATGCAATAAAAAACACTTAGAGATCTTATAAATAGGGATAGGACGATACTGGATTTTATCGCAGATTGTGATTAAAAAAAAAAAAGAAAGAAAAAAAAAACACTGAGTTTATGGTGGTGAATTTCCATTATTGGGATGATCGTGAATATCGTGTCCAACAATAAAAGAGACTCCGCAAAAACTGGCATACGCACTGAGGATCAATTGATATTGAGGATTTTTAAGATTACTGGAATCATTCTTTTTTTCCATCTGAAAAGTGTGCTACTTTGGCTCTGATGCGGCCGCCTGCCTCTGTCTGCAGTCACCACTCTGTTGCCTCGCTCAATGTCCGGCCCACAGCACTATTTTATTAGTTTCACAACTGGTTACACATCAAGAGTGATAGCTGAGTAGTACTGCACCACAGTCGGCAAGGACAGAAACTGTAGCTGCTCTGTTGCCCTGCAGAAAAGTTTCTAAAAGTGCAGTCGGCCCATTGGAGTATTACACATACTAACACCAGGGAAGACAGACTGCAATGCGAGCAAAGAAACTGAACATAGATTGCTTTAAGGCATTTAAACAAAGCTTTGTGTTGAAGTTGTGGAGTTCGTATTATGTTAAATATTGAGATTAAGATTTCATTTTTACTTCAAATATATATCAGTTCCAAATATCTGTTGGCCTTGTCCTTGATTACTAATAATCGGTATCAGAATTTAACTTAACTTAATCAAGCATTGGCGCATTTCAAACTGAAAGATGTGGTGCCATTTTAAAAGTTGAAAACCCTGGCTTTTAAAGACTGTTCTTCACAAAAAAAGGTTGATCATTAAAAAAAAGATGCATCTGTGATGAAATAAATACATATATATATATTTCAAAATGTAAGGTAAAGAGATTAAAGAGAGTATGCTTTAAGTGCAATTTTCAGAGTTTTAAACATATTTTGATGATTATCGGGATAATAATGTAAATCACAATTATTTTGGTTCGGAAAATCGTGCCATGACATTGTTCTATCGCCCCATGCCTACTTATAGAGCTATATGACACTTGCTTCTTGCTTTACATTTTAAAACAATATTGACGACAAATCTGGAAGAACAAACCGTGTTGCTACGGCAGGTTTTGGAAGAGGGTGAAGCAGAAATACTCAATCAGGTCATTTCTTCTAAGAAGTAACTTGTTACATTGCTAGTTACTTTAAAAGGTAAGTAACAAAGTACAGTCATGTGTGACTTGGTTCAAGTGGCTTTCCACAAACTCTATCTGACCAATCACAGGAGCAAAGAGTTTTCTGTGCAACACTGAGCTGACAGCACGGACGCAGGCTGACACACTGCTAGATTACCAACTCCGGCAGCTCTCAGCGCCTTCACAGCTGAGACTCAGCACGATGAATCACTCACACTCTTTTCCATTTTGATCACGTGATTAAATTTGAAGTGGACTGGCAACAAATTGAGTTTTGTCAGTCAAATGGCTTTAAACCACCTCCTGCTCCACGGTCATTGTGCTTAAAGGGCAAACTGAAGTTAAAAAAAAAACTGCTTTACAAATCGGAATATAAACTAGCGACAAAACCAGGCCATGCTGAAAGTGTAACAGTAACCAAAGAACAAATGAGAACAAACTGAAAATAAAGGAGCCGGCCACGTCATCCTCACTCAAGGCTTCTTCTCTGCTGCTTCTTCTTCTTCTGCCTCTATTTCTACGTTCTCCAGCAGAGTGTGCTTCTCATCCTCCGGCATGAGAGTGACAGGGTTTAGGTGAAAAATGTGCCTGTGACAAAAGAGATTTAAAGTTTGGCATTCTGTACATCTTCTGAATACTCCAGCAGATTATTTGTTCACTGAAACAGACTCACTTGTGTTCACAAGTTGGGAAGAACATGTCCAAGATCTTGACAATGACTGCTGATCCGACGACGCCGATCACCACCACCCACATGACCAGGAAGAATAGAGGCAGCGACTCGGAGCTGAAGCGCCTCAGACGCTCTCTGACTTCCTCCACCCACTGACACATGGCCTGAGGAGAGGGTGGACATGGAGACATGAGCACTTCCTGCTGGTACAAGGCCCTTCTGGTACTAAATATTAGGAGGGTTTTTTTTAGTGAACAAACCAGAATGACTCAGAGCTTATGGGGAGATCATCTGATGTGATCTGTACTCTCAGTGGTCTTCTATGTGTCATGTCAGCTAGAGAGCGCAGCACAGAGCTGACCAGATAAAAACACAGCAGCAGCAAATAAATAAGGACAGACACAAACTAGAGACCATCTTGTGATTAGATCACTCCAGCCGCAATAAGGCAATCTGCGACTGCAAAGCTGAAAGCGAAAGCCAGCAAGGGCGGCAACTGTGGGGATGGGGGCAGTGGCCCCTTCTCTACTTCCTACCCCTCTAGAGAGAATGATCATGGATAATACAGTTGGGCTAATTTAATTATTTAAATTTAAAAACAAGGACGAGGGGAGAGTGTCAGAGTTTTCAGATGAAGGCTTAATTTTTTATAACAACTTAGAGATGTCCTCTAAAGAAAGAGGAGAGAAGGAGCCCAGAAATAGGGGCAGGAAAAGTGTGCCATAATAAAAACTTAAAAAATAAAATGCTAGAATGAGTACACCTACAAATTCACCTCTAAAAAATAAGTTGGCTGGTTTCCAGTGATGTACTGTGTTTTTAAATACTAAAAATGTTCATATATAAGCGACCATGAATCAAGGTTTCCTCCCCCTATTGCAAGTGTGTGTAAACAGGAAATCTCTCGATACATACAGCAGGTGTGACCAGCACCAACTTAAAGAAGCAATTATATATGTTAAAGGTCCAGTGTTTAGGATTTGTTGGCATCTAGTGGTGAGTGTGCAGAACTGAAATTTGGGAAAACATGGGAAAGTCATGGAATTCTAAAATCTCGTTATTTAGGCCCGGAAAAGTCATGGAATTGATAAAATCCTTGAAAGTCAAGGAAATAATTGTTCCAGTAATCTTCCGTGGATAACCTTTCATGTAATGTAACGCATTGAAGAATTTATTTGCTGTAGCTGTTGGCGAGACATATCTCTTATATTTGTTTATTTGTTACTCTTTGTTTACACGCACATCTCTCTCTTCATTTTCTCCCCTGACAGTCTCTCCCTCCATATGTGCCAGCCAACTATCTGGTATTATGTTCTTATTTGAATTTGATATGTTTGGAAAAAGTGATGTTGTGCCAGTATGATTTAAAATGTAGAGTCATGAATCCCGAAGTTTCTTTACCTATGCCCAACTAATCCTATTAAATTGTGCCACATTTTTTAGATGGAACAATTGATGCCCAGGGTGTCAATCGGAGAACAAATGCGCACTCTGGTTTCATGTTAACTGCTCTGAAAGCAAAACATGGTAATTTAAAGGTACGGTGCATTGTCGGCTGTCGCTCCCCCTCTCTAGGAGCTCTACTGCTCTATGTTCACGGACCACCTACAATAATATAAATAACATCTGGAGTAAAGTGTACTACACAGTTCTGTTTGTGTTATACGTTGTGAATGGTCATGGAAATTACACGTTCTTGAAAAGTTGTGGAAACATTTTACATTTTTGTCCATGTAAATTTGTGGGAGCCCTGATTGTGCCAAGCGTCTAGGAGAACAATGGCAGCCAAAGCAAAAACGCCAATTGCCCTATCTAGAGCCCATGTTTGATTTGTCTGTTCTGGGCTACTGTAGAAATAACATGGCAGACTCCATGGAAGAGGACCTGCTCCATTTGTAGATAAAAACAGCTCATTTTAAGGTGACAAAAACACAATGATTATTATTTTCAGGTGATTATAAAACTAATGAAAACACAGTTATGACCATTATATAAAATTTCTTCAAAAAGATGACCCTAAATCCTACACACTGAAACTTTAATGCAATTATATTTTATCTGTAAATTCTGGCCAACTGTTGAACTTTTGATAAAGCTCCCAATAGCGTCCAAAAGTTTTATGGGCACTGACGTGAGCTCTGACAAACTCAGACAGTGTGCCTTTAATGTAGGCATAAAGAATGTTTTTTAACCTACTTGGCTCCTAAATTTGCAGAGTTTTACAATGAATCTCATGAGTATGCATCCTATCCAGTAATAGAGGACAAATATTGGATGTTGACAGTTTCAACAAAACCATGTGGTGCACCAACATCTCTGGAATGCAGAAACTCTCATCCTCTATCTCCTCCATAACAAACCACCCCAACCTCCAATGCTTTCCTTTTAAGTAGCTTGACATCTCTTAAATAGTACATACTGTATGTAATCATCCAGGTCTAGCATCAGACTTACAGAGTAAGATGATATGATTTCTTTGGGCGGAGTTTCCATCTGAATCTGATCCGGCTGGCTCGGCTCTCTGTCATCAAACTCATCATCATATCTGACATCATACAGCAGGTCGGGGTCCATGCGGAGCGGAGTCTCTGGGAGCTTTCCTGGGGCTGCAGTCTCCTCCTGGGTGGTCTCTGTGTGCTTCAGGGGGTACTGGCTGGTGGTCTGGGTGATCAGCTGTTCTTCATCTGATTTTAACATGTGAGAGAAAGTTGAGGATACACACTGAACTGGACTGCTATACACTATCTGCACAATAAATCAGTAGAAGTGTCATGTTTTCATGCCTTTTCTGGGATTTGGTGGATCTGTGACGACCACATCGTTCTCCCTGGGAACCCTGAAAATCTCACTGTGTCCGATGGGGTAGATGTTGGTAAACTGAGCCAGCTTCTGGAAATCTGGGCTCATCAGTATTTTCACCTCACACATGTCAGGCTGCTGGACCTGAATAATACAAACCCAAACGGTGTGAAATCATGTCAGATCATGTTTTACATAGTATATTACTGTATTTGATCAGTTCTGAAAAGATTTTAAATTATGGTTAAGGTTGTAAGTTTTGAGGTAGAAGGACAAACACAATTCTGTGGTTGAATTCTGTCACAGTCGAGATATTTACCTCTTTGCCCTCCATCTCTATGACTTCACTGAACACCTGCAGAGCCACCACCTCCTCTGAGTCACTGTAGAGACGATTCTGGCTCACCATCACCCGGGTGACAGTGGAAACCAAGTCCCCAGATTCAAAGTCACTGCTCCCATTGACACTGTCTACTGGAAAAAATATAAATCATTGTTAATGCTTGACAAATCAAGGATGTGACTTCAGTTCCTACACCATTAGCTAATTAACCTATCAGTTACACAGCAGTAACTCTGTCAATGACAATTTAAATATGAATTAAATATCAAGTCATTTATCAAGTAAAACTCAAAACATTTACTGTTTTTGTCAATTTCATATCATTGTAAATTAAATAGTTTGACACTTTGAAGACATTCCTTCAGACTTGATTGCTTGTAATGTGTCATTATTAGTGACATTAGTTGCCACCCTCATGAGGACAGCAGGGACTATCACAGTGCTACAGATGTAACTTAAGAATCTTGCATGATAAAGATGTTTGGGCCAAAAAAAAAAATAAAGGAGAAAAAGGAACAAAGTATCCATAAAAGAAAAACTATATATTGGAGAGCTGAGAGGTGTTTCTTAGGGCCACATAAACCCAATAGTGATTAAGGTATTGAGTGTCTTTGCAATTAACATACATTTTAAAGCAATCCCAGCTGAATGGCATGATATAGCGAAAAGAAAGCACAATTTAGTGACAAAAAATTCATTTCTTACAGGCGACCCTGTGCTTAAACTCAAATCTGTGATTTCATAGGGTATAAAGTCAGGAGTTGTTCCATAGACAATGAACTGTAAAATGATGTTCCAGATGACACAGAGAGCAGCCAGGGGAATGTTCTGAGTATATGGGTACATTTTCTGTGTCAGAACTGAGAAAACTACAATAGAATAAAGCTCATTTGGGTATAAAAAAGAAAACAAACAAAATCAAACTCCTATTCATTGTCTATGGAGCAGCCCCAGACTTTGTACTTGATGACATCACAGGTTTCAGACTCCCTTCTCTGGTTTCTGGCTTTGAGAGAGAGGAGCTCATGTTCACAAACACTGATTGAACTTTCCTCTGCTACATAAATAATGTATTTGCATTCTTAATTTAAGTTTCACCGACCCCCCCAGCCTCTTCGACGGCCAACGTCTGGCCCATGTATTTGAAACACAAGAACAGTGCGCAGAACGTTGAAGTAATGTGAGGAAAACTCACAGAGAAGTGCCTGACAGTTGAACCTGGTGACCCCCGACAGCTCCACTGGGATGTCATTGACCAGCACCTGCTCTTCACCCACTGATATGTTTAGATTGATCTGAAGGGGGGAAAAAAACAATGTTATGGCTTGGCTGATTGGTCGACCCACATCTGTACCTTCATTAAGTACACTGACTCAACACCAGGTCGTAAGGGTCCTTAAGGGATTCCCATAAAAATAGGGAATATTTTTATATAACTTTGTAAATCACTGTAGAGGTGAGCCCAGAGTGAAAGTCATGATAGTCACTGTTCTGATCATGAGTTTCACTTCCTCCATAGATATCTCCTAGGGGTGGAGGAAAAATCAATACAGCAGAGTATTGCGATATTTTTGTGTGGCAATACCATATTGTCACATGGTGTCAAGTATTGATTTTTTTTTTATTATAATAATTACTAATATAACAAAAACAAATTAAACTTTAGGTAGCCCCCTAGAATAACATAATCAGTTGCTTCTTTGGATACATTTTGCTGCTGCAAAAAAAAATGGCTGAAGTGAGATGAACAGACTAACAAACTGTATCTTATTAGATAAAACAGATGTTGACAAAGTTTTCCCCTGGGCACATAATTTACAGTTGAAAATAATAATAATAATAATAATAATAACAATAACAACAACAACAACAATAATAATAATAATAATAATAATAAATTAGCATATATTTTATCACAATACCCAGCATATTGCAACATATTAAAAATTACAATATTTCCTTGACTGGAAAATAGGTTGAGAACCACTCAGTACATTAGCTCATACTCTTTACCTGCAAGTTGTTAGAATCCTGCAACTGTGTGTCCGCCACTGTCCCTGCTGTCACGTTTATCAGGATGTTTTCCTATGGAGACCAGTTATTAAAAAGAAAAGAAAACACAGGTTTACAACACAATGTCTGCCAGTCATGGTCTTCCTGTCATAGCCTACGATCAGTAAGCTAACGCTATGCTAACACCATCATCATGAGGTTAGCCCAATATTTACGGTTGCTGACATCTTACCGTATTCAGTTGCCTGGGTGACGACTCTGAGCACGTTACCGAGGCAAAGAGAAGACATATAATACTAACTACTACACCTGCCGTTTCCATTTTGTGTGGACTTTACTTCACAGCAGCAGGAGAGCTAACACAAAAACATTGAGCAAGACATGTGAAGTGCGCATGCGCGCGGAATTTCCCAAACCTCTTCTCGCGAGATCGACCATCGGCATGGCGGTGCTCCTTGAAACGACGTTGGGCGATGTTGTAATTGATTTGTTTACAGAAGAAAGGCCTAAAAGTAAGAAAATGAAGCCGTTTTCACATGACGGCAGCACATTTTATAAACTGGTTGCTAGTTGAGTAAGCCATTGACGAGCTGTAGCACGGAATAAGTGGGTGCTAGCTAAGGCTGTTAGCTTGCTTGCATTTTATTCATAGCCTATGTTTATCTTACAGTTACAAACAGTTAAGTAAGCAGTAACTACACGGCTGAAATAAACTATTACATAATTAATTTCGCCTCGATTCGAGCACTCTAAATAGACGCTAAGTGTAGTAAATATGTTGGTGTGGTGTGTGTGTGTTGGTAATGTTCAAGGACTGTCTGTTTTACCTCTGCGCTCTTTTGTTTTGCAGCTTGCCTAAACTTTCTGAAACTATGCAAGATAAAGTACTACAACTACTGCCTCATCCACAATGTTCAGGTAAAACTAAATGGTCCCTTGAAAACTTCTGTTACACGGGTATGAATCAGTCTCAGTTGAACCAAACCGCCTGAAGAGGGCGACACAGTCCCTCAATAGATTTGAAAAGTTTATAATTCAGGCCAGGTTCATATATGGACTAAATGTAGCAGACTCTATGAGGTCATGGTCGTGGCTGGATTACTAAACAGGCCCACCGGGCACAGGCCCAGGAGCCCAAGGTGTCAAGGGCCCCCTCTGCCCTTCATCTGCAAAATGTTACTTGAATTAACACATACCGACCAGGAAGAGACTCAAAATAACAACGAGATGCAAAAGAACTGCAAAGAGACACAGTAACTACAAAAAGGGGTGAAACACCCACACTTTATTGTGTTAAGTGTTTGTAATTTTAGATCTTTTTGAAGATTGTTCCATGTCCAAGGTGCAGAGTAGGAGAATGCAGTTTTCCCAGATCTGTTAAAATCTGGGGTACATTAAAAAGCAACCACTTGGAGGAGCATAGCCCCAAAAGCCACAGTTTCACGTGTAGATATATTTGCAACACTTAAATTTCTGTCAGAGTATTTACAGGTAAAATAAGATACAAAAAAAGATAAATAAATAAACTAGGCTAGAGAACCCCAGGTGGAAAACTAGTCAGTGCATTTAGTGCAATTTGTTCGTCTGTTATTGCAGCTCTTGTGAAAAAAACAACACAATTTTGAAATCATTAGGTTCTTGACTGGAAAGGACTGAAAGTTTTTGTTGCCTTGGGTTCCTGTAACAAGTTAATATGTCAGTGCTCTGGTTCCATATATTAATAAAGCAAAAAAAAACATTTGCAGCTGATATTATAATGAAAATGGGAGTCTTGCCAACTAAACAATCACAATAATCATCATTCAAGTTTACACATAAATTCAAGCAAAGCAAAGATTCATGTCTGCAAGGACAGTTAGACTTGGCCTGTGTGAAGGCTGCCTAGACTTTAGTAGATTCCTCTCTTCTTATTTTTTTGTATGTTATATACTTTTTTTGTTAGAAGCAATCGCATGGCTTTTTCCATCATATTGGGGCTTACGGCTAAGATTGATTCGATTGTTTATAACCTCTCCTCATAATCATAGTGTAACAAAATTCCTAAATTAAGATATTGTTGTTCACACTCTAAATTGATACCAAAATCTATCCCAGCGATTGATCTCAAAACATATGAAAATGTCTTTCTTTCTTTCTTTTTATTTATGAACAGTCATAAATACATTTAGTGAACAGAGCAGCAGACTTTATTGTCTCAAAAGCAGTGTAAAGCATGTCTTCTGGTAACGATCGGACTGTGGTGACAATGCTGTGCTTCCCTAATTTCTCCATCCTGCTGGACACTGTGTGAGCTGCTTAACAGTGTCTTTGTCTTCTCCCCAGAGAGACTTCATTGTGCAGACTGGAGATCCCACCGGGACAGGGCGTGGCGGAGAATCTATCTATAGGTCAGTCATCTTCACCACTGCTGCCGACTTTTTTTGACATCGCAAGTTGAACACTGTGACAGTTATTTTTTTCTTGTGTGTGTGTGTGTGTATGTGATTAGCAAACTGTATGGGGACCAGGCCCGCTTTTTTGATGCAGAGAAAATGCCACGCATCAAACACAAGAAGAAGGGGATGGTGTCCATGGTGAACAATGGAAACGACCAGCATGGTTCTCAGGTGAATAAGATGTACAGTCATACTATTGTTTGCCCTGCAAGTTGCAGAAAGCTTCCAGAGAGAGAGAGAGGGAGAGAGAACAGAAAAATGCCTTATACTAGTTTAATGCTTTCACCTGATCAAAAAAGTTGAAAAAGAAAAAAAAAAAAAAAACATGGTAAGGGTAATGCCTTTTAATGTCCTTTAACATAAATCATCTCTTAATCTCAATGTATAGATGTTGATGTATATAATCTGTTATTCTTGTCTTCAGTTCCTTATTACCACGGGTGAGAACTTGGACTACCTGAATGGAGTTCACACTGTGTTTGGGGAAGTGACAGAAGGCATGGACGTCTTGGCCAAAATCAACGAGACCTTTGTGGACAAGGACTTTGTCCCATTCCAAGATATCAGGTGAACTGAGACAAACTGTCTGTGTAGAAGTATCCTATGTGTTCTATGTGTCACTTCTCAGGGCGTTAAGTTCTACAGTCATGAGATGAGAGTGTCATTTTGCTGCAGGATAAACCACACAGTGATCCTGGAAGACCCTTTTGATGACCCTCCTGATTTGCCAGTGCCAGATCGATCACCTGAGCCCACCAAGGAGCAGCTAGATGTGAGTGCAGTGCCACTGAAAGCTCTGAGAGTTCTTGCATTTATCTGCTCATACAAAAATATAAAGCCAGAACTGTCACTACACATAACATGAAAAAATGTATACAGCACGCACTGCCTAAATAACTATGGCTGTTTCTGCCACCGGTGTACAGAGCGGCCGAATCGGAGCGGACGAAGTGATCGACGATGCGGAAGGGAAAGGAGCCGAGGAGCTGGAGGAGAGGTTGAAAGAGAAAGAAGCCAAGACTCAGGCCATCCTGCTGGAGATGGTGAGAAGAGGAAATCTGCTCTCAGCCTTCAGCTGAAGATAACACAGATGCAGTCTGAGACATTTATACACTCATGTGTCATACGTTCCTCCAGGTGGGTGACCTCCCTGATGCAGATATAAAGCCTCCAGAAAACGTGCTGTTTGTGTGTAAACTGAACCCAGTGACCACAGACGAGGACCTGGAAATTATCTTTTCTCGCTTTGGGACAATAAAAAGGTGACGCTAACCTCCAAGTTCTTCATAATGCTAGTTTGTAGTCAAAATGTTTTGTAACGGTACACAAACGTCACGGTTCGGTTTATACCCCGGTGTAGGAGTCATGGTTTGGTGCAAGTTCAGTACAGAGGTAAAAACAAAAATGTCAACAACAGACACAGTCTTCCTGCTAGGGACCGAGGTAGTATTTTGCCCACTGGAAACTGTTTTCATTTATAAAAATAAGGAACATTTCTGTATTACACTGTAGTAACACTGAACAAACACCTTCCCAGAAGGCAAGAGCAGGCTATAAAACATCTCTTATGTTATGAAATTGAAAATACAAAGAACATAGAATATCAAAAATTAAACCTTGTGAATTGAGAGGAGTGTTTCACTTACTTCCACCTTGGCTGTGTCTAAAAATTCAAAGCTCCCAAACATTTATAATCCTGGTAATCAGCACATCTGTGTGATGTTCTCGAATGTGGGTTAGCATGCGTTTCCATTCACTGACTCTACAATGAAACAGCAATTCACCATCGTCGTCTATTACAAAACTCTCTCTCCGTTGTTGTAGGTGACCACTGTTTCATTTGAGCTCGCCATAGTGTGACTCACACACAAATCAGCTTGTTGTGCTAACCTCAGTACATGTTGCTAATGTGGTATGGCCACAAGTTTCTAGGCGGAACACCCACTTTCAAACTTTGGTTCCACATTTCATGTATCAGTCTATATACTGTGTATTCTGCATGAGGCTAAGTGCGCCAGGCCATGACTGTTCGATACACATACACTAACTGTTACATCCCTAATGTGTACCAACATTTTGCTTTATGTCCATGCTCTAAAACATTTCTCATGTTACTCTTGTTGTGTGAAGCTGTGAGATCATCAGAGACTGGAAGAGTGGAGACTCCCTCTGCTACGCTTTTATTGAGTTTGAAAAGGTAAGCGTCTTATGTGTCCACTTAATTTACAGTGAGTAAACTGTGAGTGTGCACTTGTATACAGAGTAATCAGGGATGTGTTTACAGTGAGAGTGAGTTGAGAAGATCAATATTAATCACATTGTGAGACATTGTCACAGACCTGGAGTCAGACTTTGGTTAGCTTAGCTTAGCATAAGGACTGCGAACAGCCTGTCTGAATAATAAAAAAAGCTTGGTTTGAACTGTACACAAACAAAAATGTAAAAGCAACAATTTGATTTTATGAGTTTTGTTGTCACAGGTTGCCAGGTTTGATGCCATTGTATTGATGTTTTATAAGAAGTACAAAGAACGTTAATGGTAAAACATGAGCAGTATCCCAGTTCAGGGAAGGCCCCTCTTTAAAGTCACTTGTTTAATGGTGCGTAAAAGTGGTCCTCCTCACACATCACAAATATGACACAGCAATTTGTTTGGGCTTTTGCGTTCATGTGCTCATCAGCCTTTAGTAAACAGAATTATTAGTGAAAGTGTCAGAAGGAAACCCCCCTGCAGGATGTGAGGAAGTCAGGCATGACCTCCATTGTTTGCCCTTGTTATGACGCATTAATTATCACATGGGCTGCCGGAGTCATCGTGATAGAGAAGTGTTATTATAGAGATATGAAAGTTTTATAAATAGGCCATATATATTACCGTCAGCATGGTGCATCACTGGCTGGCTGTCCACTGTGGAAGTAAAATCTTAGAACTTGTGAGCTTGGTCAGGCAGTTTTTGTTACTGTCTCTCAGTCC